ACCTTGCATGGCCACTGGAGATGAAGCAATGGCTTCACTTATCATGAAATTTTCAAACAGTATTATCAGCACATTCTGTTACATCTGTCTCAACCCACACTCAGCAGCATCCCAGTCTTCTCTGGCAGCTTCTCTCCATTTTGACTGTTGACAATTCACTATAATTTTCCTTTCTCTTGGCACTATATTCCTGTGTGCCTTTCTTCCTACTGCTTTTACTGTAATGCTATGAATCTCCCAGCACAAAGTCAGAATTTGAGGATGCAGTTTTGCACGCTATTCCAACTCTTGCAAGCAATCATGGCTGCTAGAGGAATTGGTCCCTCTGTCCTCTGTCCTGCTGTCCCCCCATTTCCCACCCTGTGCTACCCTGTCTCCCCTGGGACAGGGACAAAGTTTGTGTTTAAGTAAACTGATCAGTCTTAACACTAACAAAAATTTAGTATTTCTTGGGCCACTGCCAACCAAGACCAGTTCCCTGCTCAGAGCAAGCACAAAATGACACAGCAGTCCGGACCAGCACAGCAGGACCAGTGCAACCACAGTAATGGGCTGGGGAAAGCTGAGCAGCCGCCTTCAATCTCAGTGCCAGCTTACGCAGGAATAATGCATCCATAAAATGACAATCTTACTGCCTAGACGCTCCCCAAATAGAATCATTTCTTTTAATTGGCATCACATTTTCAACCTTCCTCTACCACGGAAGCTGATTTATATGATAGATTATATGGCACTATTAGGAGTTCAGCAATTTCATATCTCAGTTCCTTTAGAAGTCTTTGGGGAGTAACATCTGATCCTGGTGATTTGTAACTATTCATTTTATTGATTTATTCTAAACCTACTTCTACTGACACTTCAATATGAGAAAGCTTAGACTCATTGTGCATGAAGAAACAGACCTGTGCAAAAAACTCCTCATGTCCCTGTACAGTGAGCAGTGAGACAAATGATTATTTTAGTTTTTCTGCTATTGTCACACCAGCGTTGCTCCATGCGTACAAACTCTGCTAAAGCCTTATTCCTCAGTGTGGGGCATGGCACCAACATGCACTTAGTCTACTCAGTTCATCAACTTTTCCCAGGACTTTTACAGTATTGGTCAGAATGATGACAAAAAGCATTTCAGTATGGACAAGCAGTAGAAGATAGGACTAGTGGGTATTGACTCTCTCCATTCTAAAGGCTGGAAAATAGGACCGCAAAGTGTTAGGTAAATATTTGCTCCCCTTGATATCAGTCTCTATGAATCAGACATAATCATGTTCACTTTGTGGCCATCACCAGAGCATGCTTTTAACACGTTTTATTCATCAGGAACAAAGCACAGTGAGCAAGAATCCTAACAGCATTCTTTGCAACAAAGAAACAACATCAAAAAGTAATCAGATCTTTTTTTTTTTTTCCTTCTTTTTTCTTGGATTATTAAACAAAATTCAATGCCTAGGAGAAGCAGAGGTATATCCTTTTCTGGCATCACCATTCAGCAGCTCTCTTTGACTGCATCTGCTCACACAGGACAGCACAGCTCTCCTCTCAGAGGTACACACAGCTTCTCAGTGGGTGCCACCACCTCAACCGAAGTCCTATCTTTGGTGCAAGTGCAGGAAGAGAAGGAATTAAACAAAAGTAACCTCTACTTAAGTAGCACTTACAGTCCAAATAGACATGGTCTGAGAGTACCTCCTTCCCTGATGCAAGGGTATGATCCAAAAGCTAAAACTACCTGCATGTATGAGGGGAGAATTCTCACTAATCCCAGAACCATTCATTCACAGTCCCAGACACAATGACACAGCATGGAACAAATGTCGCTAGTCCTTCATTTTCCAATTTTAAAGATATACAGACCGCATCTACACCTTTACACATCTATTTTAGACAGGTCATGAGAATTCATCTTCTTTTTCTGTCCCATCAATCGTTATTCAAGCATTCATCACAGAATTGTGAAATATCCTAAATTGGAGGAGACCCACAAGGGTGATCTGCCATCCTAATTTCCGTGGAAGCCTGTGGGTGTGATGACCATTGTGTCATTCCAGAGGTGGTCAAACACTGAATGCTGTCACTGTGAGGCAAGAGGTATGCTCAAACAGCAACCAGCCAGAGGATACTCAAAGAACAGACCAAAAATAGCATCCAAGGAAGGAAATGTTTCTCACATCCAGGTTAGAAAAGCTTTTGCAGAAGAGAAAAACTTACCTGAAAGAAATACTGCAGTCAACGGGATGGCTTTCAAGATCCTGAGACGCTAAGATTTGGCTTCTTGGAGATTACTCATTCAAATCCTGATCCTCAATGAGGATTAGCCAGGAGGCATGCCTAGCATTTTCTGCCTAGTTATTGACTTATTTCAGGGGCCTCACTATTCAATTCTTAAACTGTGCAAGCAGCAGGCACCCCAGTGACTCCAACAATCATAGAGATTATTCAAAAAAGTTGACAGTTACAGAAATGGAAGAATTTCCAACCATGTCACAGCAGGAAACAAAAGGAATGGTTTTCTTGGGAGGTGGTATGTGACAGGCCACAGCAACCTAACAAAAAAAAAACTCCTTTTGAGATAGAAGACTGTAAGGATTGTTAGTAGCAAGTCCCCATTTACGATGCTGCCATGAGAGCTCACATGTATTACTAATAAAGTCATTACCAAAAACTCCTGTAATTAAACAGTTATTAAGTACGGCAGCTTGAAGAGTATTGCAAAACTCAGACTTTCAAGACATCTTTGCCACAAAAGACATCTGAACTACAGGATAATTCAGGTATGCACATGGTAATGTCTCCTTTAGCATCCTTAGCTGCTGTAACAGCACTCAGTCATATCAGAGACACTGGGACTCCTCAGGATGGCTGGAAGTGTCCCCAACTCTCTATCAGAGCAGATGCTCTGAGAGCAGAATGCTTCAGGTATCTTACTATGGGATTAGCAGCAAATGCAGAGTGCTGTGAGGCCTGGGCTAGGCACTAGTTGACTTACTGAAGAGCCCCAGGGCCTTCCTTTATTCTCAGAGCTACAAACTCTTCTGTCTGGGACTAGAGAATGTCTGGATCTACTGACACCATTCAGCCATGTCAATGGTAAGGAAGTGGTACTCCATGGCCACTCTAGCCCCAAGAGAATGCAGATGTTCTCTGTAGTGACCACTGAGGGCTGTAATTATGATTTGTTATAGAAAAGGCAAGAAAACATGTGAAATGTCCCTTACTGTGAATCCATGCCAAGGACCAAACAGAACAACAGCTCCTGTGCATGAGGATATTTAACAAATACTCTTTCCAAATTACATTTCAGATAAGCAAACCAGGTGGGGGCTGCAGGGAAAACAGGAGGCTGAAGAAGTCATCCTGGAACTGAAAAATCAGCAGCAGGAGCAGCGGCAGCTGGGTACATCATTTTCCTTTTCTGTTCCACTAAGCTATGTCTGCAAAGACACAAACCTGAGGGGCCTTCCAACTCTACCATCCTCTATGATGGGCCAGAATGAGCTACTTTAACCACAGCTATTTTGTTTGAGCCCCGGGACCCAGTGAGCCCTGGTCATAAAGCAGAGCAAATTGTTTCTTTCTCAGAGGAGATGCAGTAAGGCAAGATAGGTGAGGAGACTCCAATCTGCCTCTAAATACTTAAAACTAAGTATTTAAAAAACTAGTCAAGCAGTGGCTTTAGCACTGGTTTTGATGGCAGTTTACCAGCCCCTCTCTGTAACAATAAGAACAGGCTTACGAACTGCCTCCTGCTGACAGGAAGAGACCAAACAGGGGAAGAACAGAAAAGATAATACAGGTGAGAATGTATTTAGCACCTAATGCTTTGTGTAAGGAGTTCTTTGTACTTAAAAACACTGAAATACAATGCATAACGCTAGTGAAAGTCTCACTGTTTTTCAGCAAGATTATGAGCTTATAAAAAATAGCTGAGGCAGTCTCTAAGGGCGGGTCACTGATGTCTCTCAGTCTGCAGGCAATAAACATTCATGGGGAAACTTATTCTGGATCTAACATTTGATCTTAAGGGCCAGCTAAGGACCCTCCCCACACTGCCTATAGAACCAGGCTGACATCATCCACAGAAGCAAAACAATCACAGCCTCCCTCTGCACTAAATATTAATGTCTAGGCAGACAAAAGCAGCACCACGAATACCATCATAATACCACTACCAGACACTCCATATATTTCTTCAGGGCATTCATGCATCTTCGCTAGGAAGATGCCCATTGTCCCACGTTAAACTAATGACTTGTTCCAAGAACCCAATCCTGGCACTCCTCTGGGAATCACAGATGTTATTTATATTTGCAGTCACTTAAAAGGATTAAAGTCTGTTTATTCTCAGTAATCCCATTTGTAGAGAGAGACATATGCAGGCACCAGGAGCATGCACGTGAACCCTGTTGGGGCGCAATGGAACGCCAGGCTCCATGCACAGTCAGTGCCTCTCTCGGATCCTTGGGATGTGGGACCTGGGGAGCTCTCGGCAGCCCCTCCACTTTCATTAAGCTCTATGGGAATTGCAGGCACTCCTGATGAACTACTACAGGAGCTCCTGTGACAGCGAGCCATGCATGGAGCCAGGAGATCCCACTGAAAATTAAACTGCATGTCAAGTAGCCCGATCAATATAATCATTGCTCCGGGCTGGAACAAATTGCAATGTCTGGTTGAAGACACATAAGTACAGCATCAGCTCCACAGCATTAGGAGGAAATTTATAAGCCACACTTGAAGAGCGCGCCGAAGCGATGGCAAATCGAGCAGCAGCGCGGAGGCTGAAGCCGAGTGCCGGGCTGTGACGGAGGCTTCAGGCCCGGGGACGGCACCCGCTCCACTCTGCACGAAGTTGCCTCCCGGCTGCCTGCACCCCGAGGCCGCGTGCCGCACGTTCTCGTTTTGCTCGCCCCGTGCCAGCGTCGGGAAGCGGCCGGTTTCCAGTCGGTGTAACCGCATCGCCCCCCGCCCCCTCTCGGCCGCCCGGGACCCCGCGCGCTTCTTACCCGTCTCTTTGTCCTGCGCGGCTTCCAGGTGCAGGTCGCTCAGGAGATGCTCTAAAATCTTCTCCGGCGTCCCCGACACCACCACGTACCTGTCGGAAAGCAGAGAATCCCCGGAGTCATCCTCCGTGGAGGACTGCGAGCGGCTGCTCCACTCGTCTTCCTCGTCCTCCTCGTCGATGTACTTGAAGTACGGCACGTCGAAGGTGGGCAGCGGCCGCTCCGCAGCCAGCGTCTCGGGCACCCGCGCCCGGCCGCTCCCCATGGCTCCCGGCTCAGCGCTGCCGCCCCTACGCGCGCCCCCCGGGGGCCATCGCCCTGCCGGGGCCGCAGCCCCGCCCGGGAGCCGCCGCCGCCGCCGCCTCGCACAGCGCCCGGCCCGGCCCCGCGCAGCCCCGAGCCGCGGTGCCTTACCTCCCGCGCCGCTCGGGGGCCGGGCTGCGTGACCACACCTTCCGCAGCACCAGTGCGGGGCCGGCCTCCTCCCGCGGCCGCTCGCGGCCGCCTCCATCGTCCGCTTGCTGCTAGACAGACAGACAGACAGACAGACAGTCGTCAGTAGCCGCTCTGCGAGCAGTTCCCGGCCCCCAGCCCAGGGTGACGCTCAACGTTAAGTGTGAACGTGGCCAGCGCTCCCCAGAGCTCCGCCGATAGCTTACGGCTGATGTGCGTTCTATAGAGCTCCGCTTCCGCAGTTAAACAAAGGCAGTAAGCCGTTGGGGTAGGCACTCAATGAAAGCATCTGTGGAAATGTTTTGTGCGCAGATTTCCCTTCCCTTGCAACAACTTTTGAACTCGGGCAGCACGCCGGCACAGAGAGCGGAGCGCGGCGGCAGCCTCCGGCAGAGCCCGAGCTGCGCTGCGAAGTGCGGCCGTGCCGGCACATCCCGCAACCCGAACGCTGCCGCAGCGCAGGAGCCGAGCTCCGGGACAGGCTGTGTCTGAGCCCCGGCTCTGCCCTGCTTTAGTCTGAGCGTTCAGCGTGTCAGACAAACATTCCGATTCTTTGATTTCTGCTAAGAGCCGGTCGGTCTAACTGCTGGCATGCTCCAAGACGCAGACGTGCCCTGGACAAGTTTTTTCTCTCTGCAAACAACGTGCAGGATTGATCTGTGAAATATCTGCAAGGGCGGGCATGCAGGTGCCGCACCACTTAACATCAAATCCTCACTGTAAGGCTCCCAAAGGACATCAGTGAGGAGCCACACTGCAAGAATACTGAAGCATAACTGCAATCTTCTGTCTCACAGCCACGGGTTGGTGCTGCCTGCATGTACAGAAAGCTGCGCTGAGAGAAGCAGCAGAAGAGAAAGAACCCATGAGCAAGAACCAGGCACAGCATTACCACTGCTCAGTAGCAGGGAAGTTTATATACATGCATCCACTTCTCTGTCTCTGGCATCCTTTGAGCCCTGATACTCATTCCCTGTGCTCACTAACACTGTGATCTGCAGCATGAATGGGGCGTGCGTGTGCTTACACATCTATCTCACACAGATGGAAATGGCCTTTAAGCTCAACAACAGACATGACACACATGAGCAGTGAGTGAGCATAGAGCACCATGAGAGAGAAGGCTCTGCTGCACTGAGCAGTGTCTGTCCCAGAGGGCAGCGCTCCTACTACAGCATCCCACAGGCAGCATCACGTCCAAAAAGCCTTTGGATAACTGTATGCAAATTCACTGTGTGCAGCACCCCAGTGGGGAGATTCTCACACAGCACTTCTTTTTGTCCTTGCCCTTTTCATCAATTGTCAGGGAAGAATAACAAGCAACCTATTGTATCAGGAATCATTATTTCCACAAAGTCCTGAGGAGGAGCAGAGAATTTCTTCATTTTGATCTCCACTGTTGTAAATAATTTCACTCGAGGAGAGCAATTATTGCTTCATTACAATCCCACTTATATACAACATAACTCTGTGTTCAGCCAGACCCTTTAATCACACCACAAGCAACAACAATTAACCTGCACAAAGAAAAACCCAGAGACAAGTACTGTGGATTCTCCCACTATTCACAAGTTCTGATTTCACGACAGATATTATTCTAAAATGACACAAAGCCACGCTCCATTTCTTGGAATCCTGAACAGTCTGTGAAATAATTAATCTCTCTGGCAGCCAGTCAGGCTGCTCTCAGTGCACTCCATCCAGCGGTGGATGAGGACAGGGCCTCCAGGTGACAGCAGCATGTGCTGAGGAGCAGGGTAGCCCCCCGCTGAGCCTTACAAGCCAGCATGCTGACTCCAGTGACATTTCCACAACGCTGACAATGAACTAGACCTCCCAGCACTTGTTCAGACCATTACACAGCCCTCACTAGGGTACCCTGCACAAACCACACACGGCTCAGCGCTGCCACTGCTCCCACCACATCAACAGAACAGTATCTCACGCTCAGGTGGGCGACGTTGCCCCTCAGCCTGCAGCCTCCTGTGCTGCCTGCTTGACCCTTTCCTTTGGATTTGTGCACTTGTAGGGGCACGACAATACCCATATATGGCCTCGAGCAAACCACTTGCCCAGACTCTTCATGCCTCAGATGCCTCTTCAAAAGCACCGCTCACTCCCACGCTACACAAGTGCTAGGAATGTTTTTTCCACATTTATTACGGCTTTTAATGAATCCTCTCATCTCCTGATAGCTGATCACGACACTATCAACCTCTATGCCATTTTCCAGCAGGCGTTCCAAGCCAGCAGCATGGCCCTCTGTACTTGGCAGCCTTTTGGCCAATATTATGGTCAAGTTTCCACCACTCCCATCTATCTTTCTCCTACTGAGATAAGCTATTTATCTCCCAAGCAATATATTTTAACAGCAGACAAGCACTGCCTTTTTTTTTTCAGTGTGAAAGTAGGCCTGGGGTGGTATAAATATTTATATGCTTACTGGAACGAAACATGGAGCTCCTTGCTTAGCGGGCCTTAACTTGTGTAGGTTATGCTTCGCATGAGCAGGAATATGCCCATCTGAGTTATTGCTGGAGCAGAAGGAAGCAGAGGTATCTGTGCTAGTGCTGTGCATAGCCCCGGTGTGTCAGCAGCTTTGTTACAGAGGACAGCTGCAATCACAGAATACCCCGAGTTGGAAGGAACCCATAAGGATCAAGTCCAGGTCCAGGCTCCACACAGCACCACCCAAAACTCAAACTATATGTCTGAGGACATTGTCCAGATGCTCCTTGAACACCGTTGGCTTAGGGCTATGCCCACTCCCCTGGGCAACCTGTTCCATGCCTACCGCCCTCTGGTGCAGAACCTTTTCCTAACTCTCAACCTGACCCTGTCCTCTTGCACTTGGTTTCTGCACTTTCTGCAACTGGCATGAAAGAACTCAACTTCCAGTCAAAGCAGCCAATAAATCTGATATCAGCCAGGGACATTTCCATGTCACTTGAATTCCTCGGTTTGGACCTAACTGAACTAATTGAAATGGAAACTGCACATAGAACATGCTGCCTGCTAGCTGCTGGAAACATCCACAGCTGGAAACGGAGCTGAAAAGTTCTGTGTGACCCAGAACTCTTGGCAGCCCATTTCTTCCTAAAAACAACAGTGCTCTGCAAAGGACATGGAATACTGTGTCTTTCCCAGGACAGGTTATCTGTACATTGCTATAGACATCAGTGAAGCACCTGTAGCGTGGAAACGCCACTAGCTAGCAATGCTCTTCCCAATGACAGAACTTTTCTCTACACTTTCTTTTCAAAAAAGGGAGCTAGAGCTACCTTGTTATAGACAGGCTCTCACATTACTGATCTCACTGGGTAAAGTAACAGAAATTAAGAGAGAAGCTGAATAAAGGCATCTACAAACAGAGCACCAAAAAGCCAGCTCACGTACCATTTTCTTGCTGCCAAACAACTAAGTGAAAGCAAAAAGGAGAATCCTTGAGCAACACACAACAAAGCAAATCTTATAGAGGCTATCTACTTCAAAATCACATTAAATAACAAGGAAATTGCCTTCTCTAGGAGCTATAGAGTGCAAGAACATTTTGTTTTCATAGCACAGTTTGGTAAAACTGACTCAACACAATCAGACAGTGCTGATCACATCTGCCTCTGTTTTGTGTTGTGTTTTGTGTTGTCATCCTTGAGCAATAGGGAAAACAGACAGAGGATTCCCAGGACCATTCGTGTCCCAAAGAGTGGGACCCCTGCCCTGCTCAGGGAACCCATGGAACATCCCTGCATCCAAATCTGGGGGTATAAGGAAATATTTCTCTGTGAGAAGTGTGAAATTCAAAGCTGGAGGCTGGAAGGCACTTGGAAACATAAGGGTAAAGGAGGGCCCACTGACGTGCAGGGAAGCTGCTCCAGTAGGTGGAAAAGCAGGACAAGAGACACCAAGTAACAAGATCCTCATTGCAGAAGTCTGATAGTTTTCTTGAACAGATATATTTTTGCTCGGATGTTGCATGGATTTTTATGAAGATGCAAAAAAAAAAAAAAAAAAAAAAGCCACAAAGACTGACCCCGGAGGGATTTTAAATCCCATTTCAGAAGTAGAAGGGTACAGGAGCTTTTCAGAGAAACCACTGTCAGATATTTTTTAACATAGCAAAACAGAGTTTACATCTAACCTTATTCTTAGCAGCCTCTCAACCACATTAGCTCTATTTTTCATTAAAAACTGAAGCAGACACCTTTAGGAACAAGCAGATAAGATTAGACAAGCTCACACACAACCAAAGATGGATGTTCATAGTGTGAGGTGTTTACAAATGCTAGTAGTAGACAATGAGATTAGTCCTAGCTATAAAATACATATTCGTATTACACATGTGGCAGAAAGCAGGAAAAGTAAAGCATCCTATTAGCAGCTTCCCCTATTCCCTGACAACATCTATCAAAGATTAAAGATGGTTACTTGGTTATACCTTGCTATGTTTTTACTTGGAATCCGTAAGCAGATTTAGATTTCAAGTCATCTACGTAGACATACCCATACCAAAAAATGGCCCTGTTCTTTACAGGATATCCCCCTCGTTTTCTGACTAGAAACTGGAAATGAACACATCACAATTAAAGTGGAGACTGATTGCAGTATCTCTGATCTCTGTGGATAATACATCTCAGAATGTGTTGCCATATTTCACTGAGTTTTGAGAGAGACCAATATCTACATTAAGAGGCTCGAGTCACTTTCAACTGCAGCAGGAGAAAAGCATTTCAAAGTCACCAGCACAACTGACCTGAGCTATGGAAAGAGACTGGTAAATATTCTTTTATTCTAGAAAGACAGAAATAAAAAAAATATGTTACTATTCTACCTCAACTTACAATTGTAGCACAAAACATTTTAAATGTAGGACATTTTAAATGGGACTGCCTATTTTGTAGCCAGTTGCACGTCTACCACTTTTTCCAAATTTCAAGGGAAAAATTACTCTACTGAACAGCAGGATGATCAAAAGCAGCTTTTCTTGTGGCAATTTTTAAGAATAATAAGAATAAAAAAATACTCTCAAAAGGTTATGCTATTTTATTTCCACAAAGCACAGCCTGTAGAA